TAATTGTCCTATCAAACGTACGTATCTAATTTGTGTTCTAATTGTTTTGGCCGAAATGGTTCTACGACTAGCTACGGACAGTAACACGCGTATCAACCAACTCACAAACCTTGTGCTGTCTTCAGTCCATGTTAATTGGTCAACGCAATGATAAGTTTTAATAAGTGTATTGCGATCAAGCAACATTCTTTTTTTCTGAAGAAAACAGATTTTCCTTAATGTTGCTTGAGAATACTACTTCTCTCAAGAGTCACACACCTGAAGATGAATGGTGATTAGTAGTACTAACCAAAAAAAATGACAATTTGGTGCGGTAAACCTCAAAAGATACTTGTTATATTTCGTGGAACCCCGATCAAAAATAACATTTCCTATGTACTTGAATGCAGACGGAATCAAGAACCCGAAAGGAGACGAGCGTACGCAAGTGCACATATTTCGTCCGTATGCACTTGCGTCGGTGTAATCAGAACATACGAACGTATGCACTTACGCATTATATTTGCATGCACCGCTGTATAGTAGTTATCGACTTTTTTTTTAACTGCAAACTAACCCGCAGTGCATCAGTTAAGTAATGTTAGCAGGCCTGCATTGCATTAGGTTACACACTTCAACAATGCTTGTCCAGTTTCTGTTCGGATCATGTTTGTTCAACTGAAGTTCACATTGAAAGGCGTAAAATATGTGTGCCCCCTCTCTCCCCCCCCTCCCCCGTTTCCAATTTACATGTGATATGCATATATTTTAAAGGTTAATCAAACACTTTTAAGGAGGGAACATTAAATGTACTAGTACTGCAATGAAGGATCATGGTAAGGATCATCCTCATGACACTTTAGGCAATTGCTCTGCATTTAAGAACGGCGGGATGTATGAGATCCCTGCTTACCATGCTGGTAAAAAAATGCCTCCGTTCCGCGTCGAAATCATTTTCCCTCGTAAATAAATCACGCCAACCGCTCACCGGTGTTAGTCTAATTATCGGGCGCTGCATAACGTGGGGGTTAAAAGCGATACACTCTTCGAAACACGCGTTTGGCATTAACGGAGCAAAAATAGAACCAAGTTCCGCGTGTGCCGAGGTTTTACGATAGCGGAGCGGAAATGTTTTCTTTTTTTTCTTGGTGAATGAAATGGAGTAGAATACAGGTTGGGCTACATGGAAATACTGGTTTTCATCATCGTGCAGCTTGAGTTTGCACGTCATTTTAACTTTTGTACAAGTAGAGTCCTTCGATTCCATTTCAAACAATTTTATGTTATGTGTACGTAACCCATATTTGCTTTATAGATTAAAATTAAATTGAAATGTCTCGATCATTCATCTGTAGAAAAAAAAAAGAGAAAGAAAAGTAGGTCAGGCCATCTGATATCTCGCCCTCAAATTCCCTCTCAAGGTTGTCTATAATTAAATGACATGTCCTCATATCTATTAAAAAGATATATATTAAAATTTAATGACATATGACAGATTGTTTTTACGCCTGCTCATATTTCAAACAGTTGACCTCTAAATGGCTCAGAATTGTGTCAGTGTTGGTTTCTTGCAGAGAGTAACTAATGCGGTTCTAAATTATGAAAACGCATAGCACATGTGTTTAGTTAATTGTGAAAACAAAATCTAAAGGCGTTCTATGCCGACATCGCCTGTGTTAAAATTTGAATGTCTAATGTGATTTTATCAATATTTTTTGTACTGCGCTAGTTTTCAAACGTGTTCTCTCACTATACTAAATGCACGCTTTACTTTAATAAGAAACAGAAAAGGGACCGTCTCCGAAAAAATAGCAGTTTATTTATTGAGCATGCGCCACATGGCCACAGTACCGTTAATAAATAATGTGATTGTTTTAACTGGACGCAAATTATTTTGGATGCTCGTTGCCTGATTACGCAAAAAGATTCGTAAAAAATCAATTTTGTTTGAAAGCACATCTTTCAAAAACATTAGTTTAATCCAGTAAATCAAAAATCTACGATTTGCGTATCAAACACATTATATATGGTCACAAGGTTTGTGAAGGCCAAAACAAGATTACGATACGTGATGTACTTGTATAACACTCACCCCTCTGTCCTTGACTTAAATTAATTCTACAAATAACTTTATTTATGTCCTGAATGCTATCGCTTAAATAGGGTGAAAATAAAGAAATGGGGAACCGTAAGTATCTCGGTTATGTTTTCTATTTAACGTACACGGTATACTCTTGGGTTTCCCCTCCCGTAATCAACACGGCATGCCTGTGTGAGTATAGAAAACTTGAGAGTGAAATCGCTATGTCATTCCTTTGAAGCAGAGGACCATGGACGCTCTTATTATTATTATTGTTATTATTCTTTTCTTTTTCTCCGAATAATGTTAACAGTAAGAGGGGTCAATATTGACTGGTCACTCGATGAGTATTTGGATTGAGTGGCGCAGTCAGATGAGTCAGGCCACAAGGTATAACGTCCTAGTTCAAAGCGGAGGAGGAAATACTTCAAGCTCTGTGGCTCAACACTTTAGTACAGGGCGTGTTGAAAGAATAAACCCCGCGCCACAGGAGTAGCTTTTTTCAAGAGGATTTCGTTCGGATTGGGTGTTTTACCCCTCGTTCAAAGAAAGTAAGTTTTTATTTTATGTGGTTAGATGGATTGACAGCATGTCGCCTGTAGTTGTAACTCTTGCTATGTTGTCTGAGAGCTTTCCTACCAATTGCTAGGTCCTCTGTTATGATCTGTGTACAAAACGCAGCACGAGGTGGGAGTATTCGTCACATGCACTGCTTTTCTGTGTCTTTTTGCCGGAACCATCATACCCACACCGATATGTTAACAAAGTAAAAGGTCTTAGTCCTGATACAATGCAACACATAGTTAATCGTTTATATGTGATTTGGGGGGGGGGAGGGGGTGTGGAGGTCTGGGGCGACGAATGAGGTCAACGCCGCGCCCAACCCGTTAAGAACGATGGACTTCGTGGGGGACAGGGAAGGGATTCATCCAGTTTACTTAAATGTTTAGGCTGCATTTAGCATCTTTTGTATATTTATAACATTATGAACGTCCGTGTTGCCTATCCCTGTTTTTAATGAGCGGCGTACTTTGTGTATAAGAATTGTAAAGCTGAGTCAACAGATTTAGCATTAGTACAGGAACTTAAGATCTTTTTTTTTACTCTGGACGTTATTCGTTTTATCATCCCGCCAATGTTCTAATTGTTGATGACTTTTTAAAATTAAACAATCAATTTCTAATAACAATAATTACATTATTTATTATGTCAATTTTTATAATTATTTTCTATTTTTTATTTGTTACTTAATTATTCTAAATTCAATTACAGCATGTATTTTTCTTTATTACTTCCTGCTTATAGCAAAAAAAGGAGGAGAAAAAAAGCGATATTACACTCTTATACAAAGCATGGCATGTGTAACCTAAACGCTAATATTGTTACATCCAAGAGAATGCACAATTACCCGTAGGGCTGCGGTAATGTTTACTTTAATTTATCAAACGAGTGTTCTTCGTGGAAAGGATCAGTGAAATTGCGTTACGTTTCTTTATCGATTTTTGATGAAGTTGTCTTTGTCTGCCTGCTATGTGTCCATCGCTGTCAGTTGACCATATTGCATTGTGTTTACTTGCAAGGCTTATAAGTCAGTTTACTTTTTTGGGCTTCTGAAATATACAGACAACAGGGGCGTAACCAGACCTTTTAAAATTGTACGCACATATTTTGAAAATTCCCATGTACGATTATAAATTATATAAAAATACACTGAATTTATGGAGAATAATATCATGGTTGGCTCAAAAAATTGTACGCACAGTGCATCCGTGCGTATGCCTGGTTACGCCCCTGGACAATGAACTGTACGTACACTGTACTTAATTTATACGCACTGGAATCGGTGCCCAGACTGTGATGGGAACATTAAATTATAGTAAAATTAATAAATGAGAGATCACAGACTCTATTGGGCACTTAGAAATCCCGGGTTACGTAGGTTAGCTAATTCTCAGAAATATCATGGATCGCACTGAGAGCACTTGGTCCTATAATTAAGGAAAATCAGTAGAAATGATGGCAACAATTGTCGACCTTCAGGCTTCCACCTAACCAGATACCTTAAATACCTTTCTTCCTAATTTAACAGCAAAAACGGTTCTAAAACATTCCTTGAGAATTATATATAGATAACATAACTGATAAACGTGTGGTAAACCCCACCGTTCTTCCCTTCTTTCCGGCACACACCTGTTATTTCTATTACTCTTCTTCCCGAAGCATCTCCCAACACGGTTCTGAAAACGTTCCGCAAGGAGCCAAGTTAAGTTAAGTTATGAAATAGTTCACTTTTATTTCACTGAAATACGTTGTATTTTTACCGGCTTTATTTTATGCCACACAGACCATACGGTTCAAAAAGGTTCAGAGATTATACTTTAGTGATTAAATGTAATGAACGATAGTTATTGGTGTCTTTTAGGGTTAATTGAACTAATTTGGCCATTTTTTTCATCAGATATTATTTTAACGGCGAGTACACACATTATATTCGAAATATCCACTGCGTTTTTGAAGACTTATATGTAAAAGAAAATAATTACTGACGTCACATTAATCGAATGTTTTGTCATGACAGCGTTGTTGTCACACGGAGTCATTTCTTCCCATGGTTTATGGCAAGACCTCTGAAGTATCTATTTCCACTTTGGCCACTTCCCTCTCCAAACTCGGTTGGAACCCGGTATAAGTGTGTTTTTATCTCCACGGGGATGAAGGGTGGTTCGCCGGGTGTCTTCGTCTCCAGGACGCCTAAGTATCGCTATTCAAACATTACTCGTAGTCTAAGTAATTTTCACTGAATGAAATTCTTGTGCAAGTTAATGCTATGTCAACACAAGCAGTAATGCGATTATCTTATAACTTGGATTGCTTCAGCGTAAAGACTTGATGAGTAATATTAGGGCTCTGGCAAAACCTCTTGGCTTTTGGGCAAACTGCAAGAGGCGGCATACTGGCCTCTTTGTTAACCGGGGTTCGATAGAACCTCGCGCTAATTGTGTTGTGGTTTAGACCCACGTCAATCAAAACATCTTTCCTAGACGGGATTATTGATAATGACAGCGGAGTCTTAGAGAGATCAGTTATCGGAATTGTTCTACTGACGTGAAAAGCTGAGACATTTACTACTCTGTCCGTTCTTACCCAGAGGACGACATTTCCCCGTTGCAGCTCGTGGAGAACAGCTAGTACGTCGCAGAGCGTTGTGTGCCTTTAAAATCGAGTCGACTTATTGGTAGTGTACGGCTACCGTAAGAGTCTGACTCTTGAAGACTTTGAGAACAAAGTGAGGGAGTGAAGTTGTTTCCCAAACTGATGCCAAAGAGAGACATTTGTTTTGTCCTTTAGACCCTAAATGAGAAAGGGTCGCGGCCAGGTATGTTTTGCCTTATCGTAGTGACATTACATCTGGAATTCATATATCGGAATAAGAAACCCTAGTTGATTTATAAAAGCTCGGTATTTATTAGTGTCTCAAATTACATTACCTCCCAAATGTGCCGTGAACCCCATTTGAACAGCGGTATTACAAGCACATTATGTGCATTATGAATTGTGGAATTTTATAATCAGGAAAAGGTTTTCAGAATGGCGTGGCAAATTTTCTCACTTAATTAGGTAGTGACTATAGGTAGTGACCTCATAAAGCAACCCAAGGTATTTCGGTCGACTGTACTTCGCATGGATACTGGGGAAAAAAAGAAGAAGAAGAAAAGATTCATTCCGTTTTTTATTTAATAATTAAGTTCTACATGACAGATCAGTCACATAGAATGCCTTTTCTACCTGTTTATTTCGAAACGCACTATCGACGTTAGGTACTTTCTTTATTTGTTTTCGCATTTGTCAAGTTCTGAAATGGGAATGAATCCTAGTTTTGCAAGATATGTAGACATAGTGCATATACCTCTGCGATTGCAAACAGTGTATCTTAATTGAAGCAGTTTTATATTCACCCCTACTGGAAAACCGTACACGGCGTCCTTCCCGTGCTCCGTCCGATTTCTCAAAACATTTATTTGGCGTAAGATCATATAAAACGCTGCAACGTTACACAGATGACTTGTTATGTAGATGAGATTGAGATATGATAAGACAAATAAGGACTGTTAGCGTGCCATCTATTGCCTAAATTACCTCTCTACTTGGATGCAAGAAACCATTTTGGTCGATTTCAAATGAGAATAAATCATTGTAAAATCGCTTTAGATTCTGGTGTTACACTAAGACAATGCTGCATTTTTCTTCGTAAGTGTGCTGAAACATGGGCATATAGAGTGTGGATTATTGTCATAAGATAAAATTGCTCTGCGACGGATTTTGGACACGCGCTTGCTGCATGGTGTGACTCGCTCGTGTTTCAGTGGCAAAGGTACATCGGATTCGCGACAGCAGGTAGGAAAACAACGTTTTCATTAGGTTGTATTGGAATTAGATTTTAAATTACTGGCGTTGTTCACTGCAATAAACTGCTGGGTGGGTGGATCAAAATGTAGAGCAACGCGAAGCGTTTGCGCTTAAAGTGAAACAGTCTAATCTAATCCAATCGACAGGGAGATACACAACTCAAGGTGAACCAAGTAGTAGGAACCAAATAAATGGCGATCTTTACGGCAACGAAAAGGGCGTATATTTCAAGACAACATTAATTGAAATATCCATCTTTACACAAAGTTTTTAACCAATCCCGATTGGCTTTAGTTATATATAGAAACGGTTGGTGGAACAACGTCGAATCAATTTTAGGTTTTCCTGAAACGCTCACCATTTAGCGGGGGTGTCCACTTGAGATAGATTCCTTGTAAAGGCGTTATTTGTCACTTTCATGTTTACTCCACAAGAGATAACAAGGACCTTGAGGGACTTCCCACGACTTACTACAACAAAATCTATTTTTACAAGACATCATTATTATAAAGGCAAAATCGAATCCGTCAGAAAATATGTTGAACATCTTCAAACGACAGTAGCATTAGTTAGAGAACAAGACCACACGCTGCCAAAACAGGGGTCGCAGCAATACATACATCATTTTACCATGCCTCTTTTTATTTATTATTATTGTTTTTGTGTTATCTAGACTATAATAGAGGAATGTGGCAATTGATATTGAACCTACATTACTGACGCAAGGTTACTAACCAACAATTCTAACACAAGGTTAAACACGGAATTCTTCTCCTCGTCATTATAAAGACAATTGCACGTACTAGTTATTGTTGTGATACCCCGGCATTTCCAATAAGGTAACCCATATGAAAAGATTGAATAATGTACTATAAAAGTACCGTTTTTTTCTCTTTGGCGTCCAGAGATTTATTGATACATTTTGTTTTCAAATTAAGTTTAGCTTCACAGAACAGAGTAGAGCAGGATAACTGCTTTACAAAATGGTTATTGTAATTGAACGCCTTATAAGCATCAAATTAATGCCTTTAAAAGTACACTGTCTGTTTTGTGAAAGCGCGTTTCGAGACACTGAACGTCAAAGGGTAAGTCGTTTCTTTGGTCCTAGCGGTTGGGGTAAAACGTATTTTAGACCAAACAAGGAAATAAAAACTTTTAGCAAACCTTGCTTGTGTCTTTTGTACCTTAAAACTCAACGTGCTTCAATAATCTCACCGCAAGTAATTTTGAAAATCGAGCTACTTTTTTTTCCCGATAACTTTCCGATTGGTATTCAAGATAAAAAAAGTAACAGTTATTTTCCACCGGACTTGATCCTGCATTTTTGCAATGCCCTTTTCGTTGAGGAATGCAAGTTTAAAAAGGTAGTAGTTGACTTAGTAGAGACACACTTCGTGCACGCAGTGCTGCAACGTTATACAGATTTATCAGACGTGAAAAAATAATGGCGGTGATTGTTTAACTTAATTAGACTGTTATAGATTGTATTGGCTCATCATCGGTTCACAAAGCAACAACCGATGGATAAATAAGAGACAGGTTAAATGATGGATTACATGGGGTGAGCGAAGAGAGATCTTGTATTTGTAACATCATTGTAAAGGTAATTTATTTAGGAGTGTCTAGACTAGAAGAAAGTAAGCGAGGATAGATTGATTGCAAGGGAAGTTGTGATTAAAATTTTGATTACGAATTTGACGTGCATTTCCCTGACAGTATCGCTGATTTTCGAAACTGTCACATCGCTTGTCTGGCACTCTTGTTTCAATTTGCCTTCGATTAAGAAAACACCATTGCATTTAGGTATGTAGCTGTACGCAGTGTAGCTAATGTTAACGGGGCAAGTAATAATCTTAATTGTCTTACACCCCTGATGCGCAATGACGATTGGCATGCCAATAAAAGGAATGTGCCCAACTGAAAGTCTTGACACGGGATAGTTTTGTAATAGACGTGTTGGCAGCTGCGACATATTGAACTATTGAATACTTTGGCATCGTTTTCTTTTTTTTTTTTCATCTCAATAGTAAAACAATCGATCATAATTATCTTGGATGTTACACTGGGAGGACTAGTTAACTTTGGTTTCCTACCCTGGAAGCTGGGACTTTCATGTACTTTACACAAATGCACTTTGATAATATCGTGGTGATGCACTTTTCAGGAAGGTATATATGCGAACTCATAGGAAGCCAATCTAGATAAGAATGAAGGAATTAAGACACGTCAAGCGCGTGCCACGCGGTGATAGATATCTGTTTTAATCACGGAAGGTTCTTCACACTATTGATTAAGTCAACCCCGCCCTCTGACAAGCGAACGCTCATCTTCCACCGTGCCGTGATCGTTCTTGGCACTCTCTTGTCTGCAAAATCGTTTTTGGGAGGCGTGGAAAGATAGTAAACTTCACCTGCACTCTCTTGCTCTGCGTTATTGTTCGAGATAAATATTTTGCTATTCATTCACCATGCATTTTTGTTTCAGACAGATGGGAAAATGAAAAAGAGTTATCAAAATAAATATTCAATAATGTGTTTATATTTCAGACTGCACACGAAATACTGACAGTTTTGCCATATGCCCGGCTAGAAGGGGAAAACAGTAGGCAATGGTTTCAACACTCACTTATACTCGTACTTTTTTTATTTTAAACAGATGGGGATAGTCACCCGAGCAAAAGAGATTGCAGCGTGTGGACAGCTCAAGGCTTAACTGTGTTCCCGTAACCCAGCCCGAAATCATTGGTCTGACAACGGGAGCATATAGTCGCCTAACGCCTGACTGGGTTCTACGAGGCAATTTACCCCCTGCAGCAATAACATACTTCGTATGTGTGGCACTGACAGTTTTACCTGATTGAAATTTGAAAACTCATTCGGACTGTAGGAACCTGATCGCCCGGGCCTTGGAGTCTGAATTGCGTGCGTAGGACTGCTGTGCGTTTCGACTTGAATTTGGCCCTTGATTTTTCTTTTTTTTTTTATTCTGTAGAGTTGTGAACGTATCAGCTGTGGTGAATCGCGCAAGGAACTGTCTTTCAACCCACGTGTCATTTGCCTGGGCTTGGCTTTTTGAACACGTGACAAGCAGCACGAGATTTGCGGATTTTTAGATAAATTTAAGGCACGTATATGCCTGTTGTCACTGCAGAAAGGAGTGTGGATGTTTCCAATGCATTTTGGTTGAACAGCTAGGTTTCATTCTGGATAAGACAAAGTCTTCGAAAGGGCTATTGGCACAGGTCCTAGATTTAAAGATTTGATTTCGTTTTGAGGACTCCCGTGCACCGTTAACGAACAAGCTGGTGTATTTCACTTTGTGCAACCACGTGGTCATTGAATACTACCTGGTTCTTTGGAACACGCTTAGTTGAAACTTAATGCAAATTGATGCCAGAGTAAATTGCGGAGGCAAAAACGTTGCTGTGAAGTAAACCAAGAAGACAAGCGAAAAATCCGACAAAGGAAAACATACCGAAAACCCAGAACTCCACGAGGGAATCTGGTTCTGTCGCCTTCTGACATAAAACAGAAACTCGCAGAGCATCTGTTGGCATATCCAATCGGTGCGCGGAAGTGGTAAGTGCGTTATACCTAACATTGCTTTTTCTTAAATCCTACACGTTATTGTTGGTCCATTTTCTTTTCAAGTTTCAATTGATATTGTAATTTTTGATAATGCTTTTTTGTTTTACAATGATCCTTTAATGGTTTCTGGCGCTTTCCGTTTGCGTGACTGTTAATAGCAGTTTTATATTTAATCATTAATGTTTTGATGATAGCTTTGTTCAAATCACGCCTGTTTGTGACTAGGTTTGGTTTTCCTTAATGAGGTGAACTTATATTTGTTTGAAAGCTTGAATATTCTGTTTTAGGCAGACATAGGTCCGCACACAGGCTCGTACCATTATATGTTTTTGTTGTCAAATGTTATCCTTATGAAATGAATTATTTATATGCATTCATTACTCATTTAAAAATGTAAGCTTAAACCGTTGCGTTGATTTACCTATAAACACCATATAAAGTTGTTGTTTACAAGGTTTCTAATAAATGTTTAAACGTGGGCATCTGACGCTTACAGCCTTCGGGAAGCAGCAATTGTCTCTGTCTGGCAAATTATACCTATTAAGAATATCGAGAGTGAAAGATGGTTCAATTTTGCCAAGGAAATGACACCTCCATTTAGGATAGATTTCCAAAGAAAAGTTTGATCCAACTTGTGCGGACAATAAATTGCCCATCAATCAATAACTTAATTTCCGTTCCATTTCGATGGGCAATGGTTTCTAAATCAGACCAAGGGCCACTTACACAAAATAAGTTTAGCCAAAATTTAGCCGAGGACTTATCGTACCTTAGTTCAAGATAAATGACATTGCGATATATATCAGTCAACTCAATAGCTGGCTAAACCACGGATAGTCAACTCCACTCCATTTCAGTATTTTTCGGGTCTGAAGCATCAGCCATGTCTTTCTTGCAATAAAACAGCCACATCGTCTTGTTTAAATAAGGGGACCTCTACTGTTTTTTTCTTTAATCAAAATAGACGACAGTTTTTGGGTATGACTGTTAAGAGCGGTTGCCTGGTTAAGGTCGTGTTGTGAAAAAAAAACTTGTAAACTTTAAGACCCGAAAGCAGTTTTATTGCATTCAGTACTGACTACCGTGGGGACACGATCGATGATGTACGTGTAAACACTAACAATGACTTATCCTATATAAGCTATCTATTGTGAATTTGATAGAGTTGTTTTGAGTTTAATGCCCACCCGTTGTCCTGCAGCAGTGTGAGTGTTGCTGCCAGAACAACGAAAAAACATGCATCTCTGAGTCTTTTAATTTGATGATTGTAACGAAAAGATCAGGGCATTAAAAATGCAAATATACATGCTTGTGTTCAACAATGCAGTGGCAGCCGTGCCTTGTTTACCTGAAACGTGTCGAATTTTCCTACATAAGTCTATATAATACTACATGTAGACCCGTCTCTAAACGTGTTGTGCTTCCCAGCATTTGGGAGGTAAGTTATTACCGATGTCTTTTACAGGTGCAACAAACGTATCTAGTATGTGTTATGAAACATTAAGTGTTATTCGCTTATTTCGAGAACATTTTTCTTTTTGACAGATAAGAATCGCCGCGTTGTTTGAAAGTAGTGCTTCGCCATATCATTGCATGACCGGACTACTTTGTGCAAGCACTTAACTGCGTTCAATAACAATGGAGGGTAGTTTTAGTTTGTCAATTATTCATAACTCAATTTAGTCTCGCATACTTCTACTTATGCTGTGACAAACTTAGAACAACGGCCTGGTGAACGCAAAATACATATTGTATGAACAATGTGCTAAGCGCCATTGGCGAGAAAATAATGTGTAGTATCATTTTCATAATCATTTATATAGTAACTTAGGCCCATTACATTCTGATGAGGATGAACTGCTCGAAATGTGTGCAATGGAGAAGTAGGTTGTCTGAGAATAAGTGGTCATGAAGATCAAATGGTTCTCAGGTGTTCAAAGTTGTGTCTAGGAAACTTGCTATTAGATATCTGCTGGTGTAGTGATGATTTTCCAGCCGAGACGAGGATTTTTTTTTTTTTTTTTTTTTTTTTTTGAAGTAAGAAAAATGGGCTCGGAGAGCACCTACATTCCAGATAGTTTTTTCTCTCTCTTCTCTCTTTTTTTATCTTAATCACTAGTCCAATGTAACGCGTGACTCACTTTAGAATTAAGCGCTTGCAAAATGCCACATCGGCTGAAGGAAAAGTAATGATAACTTAGTCTTCTTGTATCAACGACGTTTAAATCACATTTTTTTACGCCGGATAGCGTATCATTTACAAGACCCAAAACAAGAAAAGTGACATTCTCGATAGCAATCACGTTTTGGTCACATTCATCTCTATACGACACTTATAATAATAATAATAATAATAATAATAATAATAATAATAATAATAATAATAAAAGAATAGGAGAAAAGTGAAAAATCAGAAAACCGCGTTGCTGTCGAATCAATGCAATAACCAGGCGCTCCTGAGCGGTGATTTACAAGAACAATAGGGTAAAAGAAGACGTCGTGTTGCTGTTTAAATGAAAGACACGGCTGGTAGCTGAATTGAAACATTTTTCATGTCCATTGAGTGTGTAATCACTGCCTAAATAGGGATTAAGGAAGCATTATGTGTCCATTGGAAGTCAACGGGTGGTCAGTGGTACATTTCACGTAATATCGACGCCTTTGAAAATCGATCATGCGCATTTTCTGCTAAGTGGCCTCGATGTCAACGTATTCCATAAAACCAATTCAAATTCGAAAGCGAGGGGACGTTGCTTTTGGTGTCGGTTACTTTGCCTGAAGTCTTATTGACGAACGTCTCTAATTTATACGGGGTTTATCGGGAGATAACGGGAACTGTGAATCATCGATATTGCGGTAGTATAGCTGTACAAAATCGCCTCCCCAAGCCATACTATTATCGTTTGTAGAAGGGAAATCCAGGCTTTAAGCTACACGATATAGTAATCAATGATGCTTTAGAGTAGGGTGTATATCTGGACGTAAAAAAATGAATCAGTGAATTTTGCCCTTAGTCACGCAGGTTATTGCATATTACTATCCGTTATGTTTGTTATCAAGCTCTTGAGCATCCAGGACAACTTAGCGTTATTGAACTTCAGTAAGAGAATATTCCAGAGACATATTATTTTGAAAATTATAGTTCATGGAGAGAGAGAGAGAGAGAGAGAGAGAGAGAGAGAGAGAGAGAGAGAGAGAGAGAGAGAGAGAGAGAGTTTACATTCGGTAAAACCCAAAAACTAGCACATAATCCTTATAACGCCTAATAATATGTAGCAATGAAGCATACAGACCAAACAAGTTTCTTTGAGGCCATCGTATGACTCTAAAGTGTCATGCAAATATGAAAGACACACTGTGCCCTGGGAGTGGCAAAAGTATAGCGTTAATAGTGCTGAGATCCAGACTGTGCCTTTGACAGCGAAACTGCAGGAATCGGGAAACGAACTTAAAAAACTGTCAGGAGAAGCCAGAGGCTCTTCGCACCAAACCAACCCCGCATGCCTAAGACTCAGAGATTTTAACATCTCCAAAAACGGGTGCGTTTGCGATTAAAACGTCTCGTTGACTGGGATAACAATTCGCTTTAATAACCTCCCCGAGCCGGGGCCTTCTAATTGTGTTTCCTTTACACTGAATCTGTTTGTATTCTTGCGTGATTGGACGAGGAAACTTTTTTTATGCAGTATTGTATTTGAAACTCGCACCGAGATGCCTCCAAAAAAGCCGCTCACCCTGTCTGACTTTAACCTTGCCAAGAATATTATACAGGAACAATGGTTGCTCCGAAAATAAGGCTCTCGGCCAAGCGAAATAGACAGACCGCGAAAGTTATAATTAGAACCGTTGCGGTTTAAAAGAGGTTGATATTTGATGAAGATTTTTTTGCCAGGAGATGAGGAAAAACCAATAAAGAAAATATAATGTGTGTTGAGAATTGTGTCACCCATATAGTTGAAGAGTTTCAGTTGTGAGATGTAAAACTTCAGAAGTGAACGATTGCACAAGTTCATTATATCTTGAGAGAGAGAGAGAGAGAGAGAGAGAGAAAGAGAGAGAGAGAGAACAAAGGCATATACCGGTAGCATAGAGTTACTGATATTTGAATAATAAAGGGGTAGTATTGTTTTAAATGTTTTAGAAACCTTTGCAGACAAATGCCTAATATATATATATACATTTTTTTTTCAATATTTTTTTCATTTTTTTACCCAGGTTTGAACTCACTGTGTCCAGATGGTCAACAAGATGCCTAGCGACCACCAGAATGACGGGCCTGTCAACGTGGCGCATAATTTGACGCTCATGTCAAACTTCGAATCGTGGCAGAGGCGCATCTTGGTAGATTTGACGCCAGAGGGCCGGGAGTGCATGATATCATTTTGGAATCTTCCCACACCAAAATGTAAGTTATATTTTTTTCTGACCCGTAAGATTTTATATGTACTTTAGAACCCTAAATAAAGAGAAACATTACATTCCACAATTTCTATGACGAGGATCGGCTGATTCTGGTCCTTCACAATAGACCGCTTTTACATTTTTACCCATATCAATAGTTCATTGTCGCACACACACGAGTTACGAAAGATGCCTTACGGATGTTCTAAGCTCATCATTCATAACTTATGCATTTGGGATAAAAGCACTCTTAAAAAGCTGCCTGCACAGCCAGTAATAAGAATACATTATATTTTATCACAGCTGTTTAAAACTGTCACCTGTCTTTCGCCGAAAATAACTCGCCCTGGATGCGACCCGTTCAACCCCAGAGCTATGAATAAACTTAATGGAATAAAAATAAGGAAAACAACCGGCTTAATGATATTCAATTAGCTCGTCGTCAGGGCGTGAATACATCAAAAAACACTGATATAGGCGCAAAGTCCTCTTTCTTGTAAAAGGTGTAAATGCCAAATTATATCAATGAATGTCATCACACACTTTTTTGCTCTATTAAAAAAGGGTTCCTTTACTCAAAAACGTCTTTATTCGATGCATTCATGCCATTTGATACTGGAAATGATGACACGCAGAGCACAGAAGTGCGAGACAGTATCAATCGTACAAGTGTTTATGTAATAAGGATAAAATATGGTGCATAGTATATTTCTTTTTCTTTTCGGAATAATAATAATTATTATTATTGTTGTTGCTGTTGTTTTTGTAGTTGTTGTTTTGGTTATTATTCCTTCTAAATACAATCCTATGTACATCATGGCGAGATTCAGCTGCTCTCTATCAGACAGACTTCCCGTATGTTACATGACAAACGTCTACCTCACCTCGGGAGGCGTTGAAGAGCACCTGTTAGATATAACTTATGGTAGCTCACATCAAAGGGAAACTCACGCCTAATTAGTGTAACGGAACTTACTCTATCACTCCTACCGTTGAAATGAATGATGAGCTTCAAGATCACCTAGAATGAACTTGGTATTTTTGTCGTGTTTGAAGGGGTTTATAACTTTATCTGATCTTATATCAGTGAAGGCCGTTTTTTGAAAGTATTACGCAAGAGTTTGGCGTCTAAGGAACGGAGTCAAGTTCTTCCCCTCTTCCTGAATGTATTTTTGGGTTAAGCGTGTGAGGATACAAAATGTACATGTTCACTACCCTGTATCTTGCAATTAGAAGAAGAGTTCCTTTACTCGTTACATGCTGGTGAACTAATATATATTGATTGTGCGATACCCATCACTAGAAATGGATATTTTAGACTAAAATTTAGGTTGGCTGTTTCGAACCAGTCTAAATATACATATATACACAGAAATGGGTGTATATCTTGCAACCTGTCGATAAATCAAATGTCGCTTCTCATTTTTTAAACTGACAAATTGAAGACTATAGGCCAAAGATACATTTACCCTACGAACACTTAGACGTTTTTCAGCAATCACATAAAATGCAGGTAAACGCCAAAAAAACACGTGTTCAACAAAACTCAACCATGTTCCGAGAAATTCAATTGCTCTAAAAGTTTATTACCAATAATATGAAACCAGTCTTGGCTCAGTCAGTGTACAAGGAATCCCGCAGGTTTTACGTGTATATTGGCATAAGGGAAATGGAAACAGTGCCTGATAGAAACCAGGGTTATTGCAGGTGCCCCCTATTTACCCCACAGGGTGCCTCACATTGACTGGGTCCCCATACCTAGATTGATCTAACAGGATCGATCCATCTCCGAGGGGTTTCTAGCTTGATTACTTTTAGCTTAAGCCGCTTAGATGTCTGGCATGCCTACTGAAGCTGCTAAACGATAATTTTTTACCCCCTGGCAGCTTCAGTAGGCGCGAAAGGCTTAAAAAAACGCTTAAGTTGATTGCAATTTAGCGAGAATCCCCTTGGAGATAGATCGATCCACAGTTAGTACGATAAGGTCTGGGAATGGTGCCACTGACTGAGGGTTCCAGAGGGTTGCACACTGATGGCCAAGGTTGCCGAAAGGAACAGGATAGCTATCCCTTCCCCCCACAGGGTGACCCGCATTGACGACGGGGTCCTGGGGGTGGTTATGAAATGAGTTGTCAAGTGCCAACAGGGTTTGAAAGAAAGCAGACGTATTGAGCGGCCAGATAAAAACATCGCACTAGCTGGATCGATCCAAGTCCTCTGGAGATTCTCCTTAAGTGCAATCACTGTGATCAGTTCTCTCTGCCCACAACATTTTGTTGAATCGAATATGACCGTGGCTAAACTTGACCCAATTTTGTTATCATTTTATTATATTGTACTGTATTGTTTTTTTTTTTTTTTTTTTTTTTTTTTTTTTTTTTTTTTTCACCGTATATAACAACAATCGGGGTTTATTCGATTCTGCCATTTTTCGCTGTGAGCTCTTACACCGGTTTGCTCATCGTTAGCGTGGACCAACTGTGGCGTTACGACCCTGTTGACACGCTCTACCCCTCCTCCCCAGCTTTAAACAGCGTTTTAAATTCACGGGCTAGGTTCCTTAACGTCACTTTCAATCGTAATGTTGCCTTAATGCGGTGCAAATCCGAGACCTCGACGCGTTTGGAGCTTTAACTGAACATTTTCCCGAATGTTGTTTAATGTCAGCTAATGATTTACTTGGGTTTAAAGAAACGGATTGACATTCCACATGGAAATGTAAATAACACCTGTGAACACGATAGGGTGAATGTCCCCCCATAAGTTATTAAAGGGGTACATTTTTCTTTTTTTTTCAGTCTGATAAAAAAAGTTTTATCTCAAATCAGGGGATTTTTTTAAAGTTGCAATCTTATAATACAGTGATATATGCATTTGAAAGCGTCGAGCTACGAATTCAAAGACAAATTATATTATATAATAATAATAAGTTATTTAGAAAAACAGCAAACCATAGGTTGGACTTCTACGTGACTGTGATAAGAGACTAACGCGTCCAAAACAATAAGAACTTAAATAGTCAAGAACTGTTTATTCAAAATATAGAGAATGATAACGCTGTAGCTCGATACAAAAACACTCACAAGTCCAAGAATATATACAGCAACCGGAAGTTTTTAGGGCATATTTCTAGTCAACGTCTTTATCAAACTTTAGTCAGGTGACATATGTTAAACACATACAACTAAATATGTAATATCACTTTTCTCTATCCTTTTGCCTTTCAACCAACTGAGAATTACGAGAAATGGAGGTTTTTTCGGACAAATGGTCGGTCAGTTTTGAGCTGCCCTCAAATCTTGAGAATGAGTGATACAGAAGGTGTGAACATTCCCGAGTTTTCATCTTCGTTTCAAATGTAAAAATAGCCTTATCAAAGGGTCATCGCGTGGTTAAAGAGTTTGTGGGTAGGCTTTTTGGCCTCTCCTGTCAGATGGAAAATGTATGTGTATTAGTACATGCATCAACAGCTGATCAAAAGTACATATATAATATTTTGCTTCTGCTTTGCTCTTTTCACCACCTGTACTAGAAAACGCGCCTTTAAATGTGCACTTTATAGAAATATAAATAATAATAATAATAATAATAATAATAATAATAATAATAATGATAATGATAATACTGTGCATTTTGACTTTTTCATCAGATGTTTAATTGAATAACACGTTTAAGACGTAAATTTTGGATAAATACGAGCGTCAAAGTTTGCGAACATGTACATGTAACAATGATAATTATAACTTGCATGCATAAATGTGTTTTCCTGCAACTTTAGTAAAAAAAGAAGTACTGTTCATTAGACGCATACTTGAATAATACATTTTAAAAGATGCAAAATGATGGACATTTACAACAATTTTTATGGTGACTTCATTACTGCTTCAGATAAACACTGCAATGCCACGTGGGATAACTACTACTGTTGGCCAGTGACGGAAGCAAACAAAACGGTGTACAACCCTTGTCCGTTCGTATTTGCCCATGATAATGACGGTAGGTTGCTTCTACCTCTCTCTCTCTCTCTCTCTCTCTCTCTCTCACACACACACACACACACACACACACACACACACACAGATAGACACATCAACAGCCTCGTAGGCACACACATGCACAGACGCACACGTACACATGCACACACGCACACACACGTGCGCGCACGCACAGTACAACTTGACATAAATCAACGACAAACCTATCATCACAAATGTGTTAGTTGTGAGCTGTGCATTCGTGTGCATTTTGGACTATTTCGCACATGTATAGTTACATTTTGTTAACAACTCCCTAAAAACATTTAATCAGTTATTCAAATAATAATCCAATGTTATGCATTCATATGTTTACAAGTTGCCATTAGCATAATTGTTTATATTTAATATTATTTTTCTTATTATTTGTTTTCTTCTTCTTCTTCTTCTTCTTATTATTATTGTATTAGGAAGTAGTGGAAGTAGTAGAAAAACATGTAGTAAGAGCAATAGAGTAGTATTTGTCTTCTGGTATTTTCAGTCCAGCGTTATGGTCACCGTTTCTGTAACGCAGATGGTCAGTGGGCACACGGGAACTGGACAAACTACACTGCGTGCCTTGACCAGGACCTTATTAACAAGTTCTACGGGCCAACATCGCCAACACAGGTGATTTTCTTTGCTTCTTATTACCAACTTCTCGTTATAAAAATTTATGGGATATTGAATGTGGTATGCATTTTAAGGAGAATACAAATAGTTTACGATAGCTACATGAAGTATATGATAAAAGAACACAAGTGAAGATAAAAACTGTAGAAATAATGTGGATTAACAGTGAAATTTACAAGTTAGTTTATTTGTTTGTGTAATTGTTTACAGCTAGTTGACGAGAGTGAGTTGATGACGGCGATCGTTCTCCGGGACATCTATTTCTACGGAAGCATCGTGTCGTTACTACTGTTGATGATCACGTGGGTTATATTCCAATTTTTCAAGTAAGTGATCTAACGGCGTTACGTTTAAGAATTTGAGTATTTTAAGGGGAGAGTAATATGGTACACACGTTTGTTCCACCGTTAAGCTGTTTGTATTTGTCATACTGATTGTTTACCTAGCATGCATTCTTATTATTATCTTTATTATCATTATTACTGTTATTTATTTATCTATTTGTTTATTTGTTTATTTATTTTTACGGGACTCAGGTTGCAGTATATTTCAAGTGTAAAAGACGATGTAACTAGATTTGAATGTCACTCTTTTCTTAGTATTAAAACTCCCTGTCCTTACATCTTGCATTCACCTCTCATTCACTAAGTACAAATGGCACAGACGAGTTCTGGTATCAATTTGTGGAGAGACACGAAAAAGGTTTGATTCAACCGCTCGGTACCAGAGACCGAAGTCGGTATTTTGGTCTCGGTCACCCACAAGTGTGTATTCTAATACTCGGTAAAACACATCAGATGACAACTTAGGTAGCTAGTACGTCCACGGCCACTTCATTTGTCACCCATCCTCTATGCCACAACCATTTAAATTGTTGATGATGGTGATATATAGTTGGTGGAATATGTATATTATAAAAACGAAATGTACTACTTTTTTCGTGATCTATCTCTTAGGGAATTCCTTTTTGTATTTCCCACAGCGTTAATTGTTTCAGCCCTCTACATAAATTTATGTCTGTCCGCCCGTTGCCTGCAGAACTATCTGTCTGTCTGTCTATCTATCTATCTACCTATTTGAAACATTTAAACATTATTTATATATATTTATTTTTCATTCACTTATTTATTTCAGATCGCTCCAGTGCAGTCGTATATCAGTTCACAAGAACCTCGTGGTCTCCTTCATAATCCGCTATTTGATCGTGTTCGTGATGTTTGAGCCTTACATTACGTCAGCTGATGACCTGGATACGAAGGGCACGTACCGCCAAGTGGTGAGTATGCTATGATAATAATAATAATAATAATAATAATAACAAACAGCTTTAATTTACTTGGATCGGCAACCATTTTACGGCAGTGTAATTAACAGCACATACTGTGAGACAACGTAGTCAATAAAATAATAATAACAATAATATGATTATATTAATAGAATACATAAATGTAGGTATTGCTTATTGATTTTTATCGTTTTTAACAAACTGGGAGTGTACTTTTTTTAAATTTTAAATTTGAAATAAATCATGCGTTGTGGGGTTTTGAGTCAAATAATTAAATGGCTCCATAGTGGTCCACAGGGAGAGTAAACAGGGGGAATGCATAAACCTCATGCTCCTTCGTCTTCTGCCCTACCGATACACACTTTAAATTAAATCATCGACTTTGTCTTTTTTGCCAGGAGTGGCTATGCAAATTAATCCAAGCGTTGCTTCAGTACTCCGTCATGGCTAACATATTCTGGATGTTCGTGGAGGGGTTGTTCCTGCACAACAGAATAGCCATATCAGTCTTCAGTACGGAGACACCATTTCTGTTGTACTATTTTATTGGTTGGGGTAGGTAATTTTGCTTGATTGTTTATGTATTAATTTCAGTATTTATGTTTTTTGTAATTTTATTAACATGCGCGTCGCTGTAATGAATAATAATTGCCCTTTTTAATCTTAATCACATGTTCCAGTTAGCTTAATAAAATCGTAATATGAGAAAGACCTAAATGCACCCCAAAGTGATCTCGAACAGAGAGAGAGAGAGAGTATCAGATACATGTAAGCAAGACACTTGTATCATTCTTAATGTACACATCTCTTCAGGTTTGCCTGGTCTGTTCGTGATGGTCTGGGCGATATGTATGAAATTCAAGCACCCCGACAAATGCTGGGACAACTACGCCGGTCACCCTCTCTTCTGGATAATAGCAGCTCCCAGTATTGCAGCCATTGTGGTGAGTGCCTTTATGCCCCTTTCTGCATTTCCGTTATGTGTATCGAAATATTAAGGCTGGTTGTTAAATTTATGTGGTCTTGACGCCCTTTGCATACCTATGCTTATCAAAATGATATTAGTTGTCACAGCCATTTTGTTATCGCATTCATTTGCAAATAGAGCACAATCCATGACAGTGTGTTTAGCTCATCTAACGCAATTGAGTACATTGGCGTGTGCGTATTATATTGTATGAAAGAGATGCTTCATACAATGCGTATGGTTGCTGAATATAATGCACATTTGTGTTTTAATTTTTCTTTTCTAGATCAATTTGTTCTTCTTGATCAAGATCATCTGCATTTTAGTCACAAAACTCACTGCTAATAATACAGTGGAAACCAATCAAGTTCGGTAAGTGGGAGAATTGGAGGCGTATTATGATGCTAATAATTAAAAAGTTTTATTCTTAAATGATTTAATTATGTATGTTTAGGGGCTGTTATATTTATGCCATTATTAATTAATTGATTAATTAATTAATTTGTATATTTACAAGGACGCTGTGGCGTTGTCGATATAAATAAGCCTCTAACTGTCCACTGACTTTTTCCACTCGATTTCGATATCCCACCGACCATTCAGAGAGCATAAATGATAAATTGTTAAAATTTAAATAGATCCGCTGGTTATATTCAGTTTGATAATAATTTACTATGGTTATTGGGAATCAATACTTAAGTCACTGGTCATTTTTTGTGTTGATATGCCAATTGTTTGAGTATGCGTTGATCAATTTAGCGGGCCCTACTCTCCATATCATCAACTGTGAAAATAATAGGATTTTTTTTTTATTTTCATTTTCATGTTTACAGGAAAGCATTGAAAGCCATCCTGGTGTTGTTCCCACTCCTTGGGATTACCTACCTTCTGTACGTGCTCCCCTCCAACGACAAGATATCCAAAGCCGCTTACCACATCGTAAATGCCATATTGCAGTCCTCCCAGGGCATATTCGTGTCAATCATCTACTGTTTCTTAAATGGAGAGGTAAGGCAAAAAAGAGATGCAAATTTTCAATGATCATATAATAATACTAATACTAATAATAATAATAATAATAATAATAATGAATCATTCTTTAAACAGTTTCGGAGACAGGGACTTCACCATGACCTTATGCCCATTAAACAGTCAAAACCGTCAATATCTGGTGGGGTGGGGATGTTGCTAAGAATAGGACATTACTTTGAAAAGAAAGCATTGTTTCTTGTCTGCTTTTGTATGTTTGCGCCGATGCAGATTTTTAAATTCCTTTTGACAGTGTAATTGCATAAGCATTTAGGCTGTATTGCACCTGCACATCAATTAATAATATAGGCATGTACATGTACCGGTACTACCAGTACATCCTGCTTTTGAAAACCACAATTAACAAATCAAGAGAAAATCATCCGTCCCTTTTGGAACGAGCAAGGTCTTTTACATCCATATTCATTTTTCTCTTTCTAGGTGCAGGCCGCCATTAAGAAGAAGTGGCAACGCTATCAATTACAGAAATTTGGCAGTGTCAGAGGAAAGAGGCGGACATCACGGACGTCCTCGTTCTTCCTTTCACAAACAGAGGTATTTGTTATGCTCACGCTTGGAGGAAAATACGTTACACGGCGTCTTACTCAGAAGGAGACACACAAATATAGAAACTCACAAGCTAACAGTGAAAGTGACTGTAGCTTGCAACCGAGAGAAGTTTTAATTGCATGTCGGGATATGCCGGTTTTCGAACCCGAGGCTTACGTTTAGATCACGTGGTTTTGTTGTAAATTAAATGCTGGTATTTTTCATCAGTGCGTTTTCGGACATGTGTGCCTGCATTTAGAAATGGGTGTATTTGTGAGGAAAAAGTTAACAAAGGTTTCAAAAACACGGAGTGCGAGAATTCTGCATGATTATATTAGCGTGTCGAAAGGATTCTTTTAAGAAGGTTTAGCAGCAATACTAGTAAGTCCTCGTCTCTTAGAGTAACACGTAGCAGATAATTCGTAGGCCTACTAGGGAAAAGGAATAGTGGAGAACATAGTTCTTGCATGGGTAGTGGAGAAAACGGTTCACGCTTGAGTCCATTAGAGCACATGGTAAATTAAAACTTATACTGCGCATGCGTCGACAGACCTAATACCACAAGGGCATGGTAGAGTTTAGAGTCCGACTAACCCACGAATGCATGTAGCTTTAAACTGCACTAACATTTGTCGTCTCCTTCATCCAAGTCCTCACCCCGAACTCAACGCCTTCGAAGAGGTGACTCGGCAGCTACGTCATCAATGACGTCATCGCTGACGTCATCCACGCCTAAACTGTGCCGATACGCATCCATTAATATTGAGCATGACGCCAACGCACCTGCACCCACACATGTCTGACGTCACGTCCTGTCTGTGTCGTAGGTATGGTATATTTGCTACGCTTGCACAGCCCATTGCTTACTATTTGCGTCACATGTACATGTATGTGTCGAGTATGTATCCCCTATGCTATCGTATATATGTTTGATAACGAGCTTAATAACGTAATATACTTCACAATATGTACTCGTATATTGCTTTCTTTCTCTCTCACGCGCATTCTATTTGACAATGTTATCATATACCTTTGTACCTACGTATTTGCAATAAACTCTAACAGCTGTTATATACATTAAGGCCTGCTTAACCTCCACGAGATGAATTTCTTTTAGAAGCACAATGTTACTGTTTACAAACTATGCATATTTTCTCTTTTTTTACAGAATTCCAACACACAACAGAATAAGTTGCTTAGCAACGGCGGTTGCTGCGAGAACGGCATGACTAGATTGCAAAAGATTAACTCGGATCACAAGCTTTTGAATGTGGAACCGTGCATAAAAGAGAAAGAGATGTTGGAAGCATTATAAGAACCTGTGGTCACTTGAGCAGTGGTCATCGCATGTGTTGGAATTTACGGGTATATGAATGAACATCGACGCTTTCTGCGATGGGGCATGAGGTTTCGAATTAATACGTGACGATAGGATTTGAATGATTAATTTTTCCAATCACTGTACAGCGGAATGTAGCTGAAGTTCTCGAACAGCATCTTTCTGATTCACAAGAATGCTTCAATCTGTATGTTGAAAGAAAAAGGAAAAGAAAAAGTGGAGATTAAAGAAAGATTAATTAGGAATGAAACACGATTACGTCATGGTAGTCTGGTGCAATGTCGTTACGTCACATTGTGTCTGACGTCACATATCATGAGCGATTTGCAGAATGTAGTTGAATCTTGTTGAAGAGATGGATCCATTCTGGTATCATTACCCAGCTGGACACAGACGAGAAGAATGTAAAAAAAGAAAAGAAAAAGAGATCGACGTACCAGAAGCAGTGACACGTCTCTCGAAGTTTTTGTTCTGGAATATCAAGTGATTGAAAAGTGTTTGAACTGTTCGACAATCGGATTAACTGGCCATTCAGCTGACGCGTGCCGGTCACGTGTCTTGCGATTAGAGTCTTCGTCCATACACAGTCAATGCATTGTTTTCCACAGCAGAGATCGACGCCTTGAAATGTTGTACATGTGCGAAGCTTGGTCCTTTATGTATACTTTGTATAGGGGGCTATCAATTAATGTGATAACGGGGTCGCCGTTGTATCATGAAATTCGGTGGTTATTAAAAATACATTATAATTCATCCCCGGTGTTGTAATTTTGAAATAAATTGTCGTTATTATTATTATTATTATTATTATTATTATTATTATTATGTACGTCTCGTCGCCGCGATTATATATACACGTGTAAGTGATATATCCAGTCAAATGCATGTACCGGTAGTCATATTGTTATATTGGTAGAGGATCATCTTCATGTATTGTATATTTATAAATGCATTCGTTACAGTTGTAATATTATTATGTGTTATGTTGCCCATACCTTCCACAAGGCATATGGGGGAAATATGTTTATTACATATAATCGGTCGATTCTGCACAAATTAGTTATGTTGTCTGAATGTTTTATTAAGATAAAACTGGCTAATTATGTTAACAGTAGCTGACGACTTCTTATTGTGGTGTAATTTCGCCAGATCTGCACTGCAAATGTGTTTATTTTTAATGTGAGTCAAGGTAAAGCCGATCCCACGTAAACATCAGACTTGAAGATGCTTAACCACGTTTTATAACCACCATAGCACCATTCGGGAGACCCCGTCCGATTCCGTTTCCGTAATCCCACGGAAAGCGTAGCCGGGATTAGCCGAATTTGACCGACTTCCAGCACAGACGGTGCATTTTGAGATGACTTGCCGAGCTGCATTTAATTCCGAATAAACTTGGTAGAAACTGGATCAGCTTGCTTCTGTGACATTCCATTCCTAGTTTTCTTATTGATTATCAATTTAATATGCTGCCTTTGCATATTGTTATCATTATAAGCATATACATATTCTGTTACATAGGGAAATGTGTGTTATGTTAGCATGCAATATGTCACCTACAGGACACGGTAAGCCATGTCTTGCATGTGATTTGTCAAACGTAAAACTAAGAAACGTGACCAAGGTTAAATTGTACATGCAGTACATGTACATGTTTATGCAGAAGAAAGGATGAGCAATTAGTATAATAAAGCGGCTCACTTACGTGAGGACTAAAGCTACAAACTGTATCGTGTGCCGCAGTGTTGTTAAAAGGAATCGAGTAAAATTGCATGTTAATGGGTTTGATGTACTTTATATATTGTTTAAACAAAAAGCATGCACAGAAGCGTTAAATGTGTGCTTTAATACACCGATCTACAGATTAAAATGCTGCAAATTGCTTTTAGATTTGTTTTGATTTTTTAAATGTGTAATATAACTATGGTGCTAAAACTTTTTATACACTAAGTATATGCAGATACCGTTATTCAAGTTCAAGCAGAGGAGAAAAGCTACTGTATGAGTAAACTCCATCGTTTCTTGAAATTTTAATATAATAAAATATAACCACAATAAAAACGTGTTCCTTTTATTGATTTTCTTTAATAATTGGAAAAGCCTATACAAATAACAAAACGTGGCACCGTTATTTTGTGCTTTAGGACTTGCCAACGCCATATAAGGCATTCTCTGCTCGCAGTTTTGAAAACACAAACTTCCATCCACGACAAATACAAATATAAACAATATTCAAAACATAACTGTTTCCTTTTGAAGGAATCCTTCGTGGTGCACGTGAATATGTAATTTAATTACACGAAATACATGTGCCTATACAGCCTGATGTCACATGGCATCCTGATATCAATGTTTCATTTGAAACACATATTACATCGCATATGACGGTCTCGTTTAAGTCGGACATTAGCCTATAATGCACTTTTTACGGAGGTCCCGTTCCCTATAACGGTACGTTCCCTAGAACGGTAAACGCATATAACGGACGAATTGTCGGCCCAATGTAGCACGTTGGATGCGAGGTCTACCAAAAATATACAAGTACAGTACAATATACCGTAATTAATAAACACTTATGTTAATATAAGTTTCGGTTCACTCTCAAGTTGGGCTGCAGCCTTACAGAGTCGCTATTCAAATATGGCGCATACTTGAAAACATGCCGCGCAATACCATTATGTATTTCCCGCCTCCCGCTGGCGCCGTCCCTGCAGGGATTACGCGACATGCGTTCAAGTGGTCCGCGAGATATTTGAGACGCGTCTAGTCAGGGAAGCCTCAACTTGGCTGTGCACAAAGCCTACAATTATGTTAATGCTGATCATTCACCATTAGTGAATTAATTTTTTCATCGTTATATTAACAGTCATTCTTCCGACAAATAAATGACGTTGGACAAAAGCTCGACGATATTAAATATATATTAAATAAAATAAATACACCCGCTGTTTGTATTCTTGACTGATCAAGTGGTGGCGATATCGTTTCATTGCCTACAAAGCATGGTGCATCAACATATGCTGTATGCTGGCAAAACACTTGTGGCTTTTCTTGTCTCCCATGTTGATGAACTCGCCATCTATGGTAGCTTCATGCGTTGTTATGCAGGGTTGACATTTCCACAGCGGTAGTGGGCTGAAATGATAACATAGAAATGATGGCAGAGAAAACAACGTTATTTTGAGAACAATTAGTTGCCGGTTAAGAATGTCATTTACAAGACAAAACAAAAAAATATCTGCCTTAGAAAATGTGATCATTATAAGATGACTCGTAATTTACTTGTATTAGTCGATTAGTGAAAAGATGTAATTAAATTCAAGTTTTTTCTTATTTTATATCCGATAAAGATAAAATTGATTACAGCCTATGGCCGCATTCAGAACAGTGAGCTAACTAGTTCGCGGGTCAAATATGGCCACCCACTTGAATACTTCCCCACGGGGAATCTATTCAGCGGTTATTAGCGGATAAGACGCCATATTTCACCCGCGGAATACCGGTAGATCGTCCACTGTTCTGAATGCTACCCAAATCAGTAGATTGTTAAAATTGATCACAGACTGTTTTAGTGAAATATTAACGTTATTAGCCTTATGTTTTGTTGTCAGATGTATAGTGCCGAGTCTCACTATTTCAGCGCGCACGCACCAACACACTTACACACAAACACACGGTCGCAAAATATTTGTTTTAGTTTCGAACGCAGCAAAAGACAAGAACGGAAGCGGGTCGACGACGCAGATTGCTCGATGCACGTAACTTTTTCATAAGTCGCAAGAGAAGCGTAAGGGTTGCTAACAAATCATGGCATATATCGATGTGCAAAGCATATTTGTGACTAATTTTACCCCAATGCCGAGTACGTCATATATAACAGTTAAATACCCAAAACGATACAGTATAGGTGCATATGAGGCAAAAGCAATACCATGTAGAGAACAGGGCCCCGTAACTCAAAAGCATCGCGCATTGCGACCGAGAGCAAGCTTCTCGATTCCATAACTCGCCCATACTCGCCCCATATAATATACATTAGCCTCTATGTGGTATCGCTATTCGCAATACGCGATGCTTTCGAACTACGGGGCCCTGGTTTTCTTGGTTTGCCTCCATGCAGAGGATACACAACACCGTAACCAAGACAAAAAGTAGAACTGAAATGTGTTATACATGTATAAATGAAACCAATCTAAATCTTATTGACCACCACCAAAAATCAATAAAAATATTTCGAGTTGTTTGCGAGATTACAGACAAAAGAACTGGTCCGAAAATACTTGATGAATGTTAAATTTCTACAGAAGCACTGGTGAAAATAAATACTAATAATTCTAAATCTACATAAAAAAGAATAAATAACAAAAATTAATAAATAAATAAAAACAAACAAACAAATAAAAACAAACAAACAAACAAAAACTTTGGGTTTACTAGCCAGTACAATGTACATGTATACTGAATACAGGTATCTTTTGGCAACGTCAAGTACTATTATATGTTCAAACATTACCTTCCATCTGCTGGACATTTTTCAGAGTCCGGATAACAACAGAAAAGGAAAACATTAACACAGTAACGACGAAAAAATAAAAATAAAATAAATACGTAATTACACAAAAAAGACAAAAAAGAAAGACATAAATAACAGCACATATGACGAGACCCACACCTTCTCATAGACTGTAATACACCACGGTACAAAGAGCCGCTCAGAGGCATTCGCAAGTGCTGTGCTGCTCGCTGTGGCTGGGGCTGGGGTGTAATGTGGCCACGGTGGATCGTTTGTGTTTGAGCTTAGAGGAGGAAGCGTGTGCGGTTACCTCGGCACTGGTGTAATACGTGCTGCTCGGACGCCGTGGGGAGCTGCTGGAGTCCTGTGAACCCCGCATCAGTTTGTACTGCTCCCACTTCCGGCGGAGCACCGTAAGGACCTTGAAACAGATGTTATAAATAGCCATTGAACTGCCCTTAATGTAAAACTAATAATAATAATAATAATAATAATAACAATAATAATAAAAATAATAATAACAGAACACGTCCAGGCGCTAGTAATTAAGCGTGGCACGTTATCTGTTTGAAAGGGGTACTTTTTGCCGTAGCAGTATACATGACGTGAATTGTTAAGGCATTAATATTAAAAACAATAAGATTAAAAAGTAAACGCTCAAGGGGTGATTTACCTTTTTGGCAAACAGTTAAGGCGTTTCAGTATAATTATTTTTATACCAGAAGCTAATAAAACAACTGAATTACCTCGCTGTTCAAGAAGCAATAAATTAGTGCCACGAAGAAACCCTGAAAAAGGAAAGAGCTGTCGGTTAACTGCATATACATGGCATGCATATGTAAAGTTAACTCTTTAGATGCAGTCGAAGCAAAAACCTTGTATAATGTTTATCCAAGGAACTGAGTTTTAAAAAAGTCACCAAATCCACCCAAAAATCGGCATCAATATGGACCGATGTGGATCTTACCCAACTGAGTTCCCTTTCAAACAAATTTAACCTAATTACCATAGCCGCATTTTTAAATCCAACGTCGAAGGACTTAAGGCAAATTATCCTCATGTTTGCTTCAATGATTTCTTCATTTAAAATAAAGTGACGTCACACACAGTTTTTGGGCTTACCTGGAATGATGTCACAAATGCTGACGCAATCAAGTAGTACGTTTTTGTGTGGCTATCTGAAGGGGTGAAAGGGAACAGAACGAACTGTAGTCCCAGCAGAGGTATCAGGATCAACGTAGCTCTCACCGCTTTTCTGAAACAAAACACGGACAAAAATGTGACTTGTGCTATCACGTCATTCAAATGTTTCACGTTTTATAAAATTGCAATAAAACGCATCTACTTTTTTTCTGCTTTCAGCGGTTAGGCCTACAGAGATGAGAAAGCTCGAAAATCCAGACACCCTGTCTTATGTGAGTAATTTTATTTTATTTTTAGTTTTTCTTAAAAAAAAAACGATGCTATTGATTTGAACGAAACACGTGCAATAGCTGTACATGTACATGCCTACATGTATCATAGTGATCTTTTTATGCTTGCATTAGATTAAGTTTGGGGGGTCAGTTTACATCGGCAGGTCACAGATATCAAGAGTGTATGTTATCATCAACGTAATTCATATCCAAAGCATCAAAGGAATAAAGAAAGGCTGGGAAAACCCGGGATGAGCGTTTCATGTTTTTTATCTTATTCTTGTCCGGGGAAAACTGGAGAATTGGGGAAGACTGGAGGATACTCCGAATATTTGGGTGTACTATCTGGGAATTCGACCGCTGTATGGGCGTGGTGGCCGATTAGAATAATAAGGGGACGGGTACGTTGATATCCCTAGACACATACCGGTAGTCTGAGCAATGGACGTTACAACACGTATCCCTGGTTTTCCAGCGGCTGTTACCATCATATTTGTATATTGTGTAGAGATTCGTCACAAGAATTAAAACACGTTCATAGTAAGAAAACGAAGCAATGGGCCTTGTGTCATTAATTTCGCAACCACTATATCACAGGGAAGAAGAAAATCCGCGGTGATAGGTCTTCTTTGTTGTCTTGGGTCAGTGACACGCGATTAGTATTCACCACTCGACTCATTACAACATGCACGGGGTTAATTACCACTAAAAGAAAAAAGTGTGGGCGTGCCACATAAAGCGCACGTCGCAAGAATTGACTTAATACACGGGTACATTTTCCAAAAGATGACAACTTGTGAAAGGCGTCAGATAAGAAATTATAGAAAAGGAGGAAGACAGCAAGTCGAATCATCTATGCAGCAGATTGTAAGGCACTTATAGAAGAGCAACAGGTTAAGTTGCCAGGGTAGTCGCAAATCGTCATCAAACAAACTTATGTTTTGGACAGCCCTCGTTCCAGTCAACCCAGAGCGAGGCTACGTGCGTCTTGTCAAACACTGTCATCAGAATAGCATCTTGTCTGCAAGGCAACCTGGAAATATTTATTCAATGGAGAGTCAGTGACATGGACAACGATGCAGACACGAAATCCTGGCCGTTCGAATCATGTTGGAGAAGGACAGTGAGGTCATCTCTTAAGCAGGGGGTGCTGCAAGGCGAGAGCTGCAGCAGCAAGGGAACTCATATATGGACTGGCCTGAAACATGGTCGGAATGAGCAGTGAACGAGAAGCAATCTCGAATCAATGAGGATCAATGCAAAACATTACACAAACCCAGCAGGCAATGACTGACGAGTGAAACAGGCTCCCAATGCAAGCGTCACAGTATCTGGAGACCAAGTTGCTGGATGCGACGTGATGCAGTGGTTCAAAGTCAGGTAGGTAAGTACACCACTATTGATCTCCTCATAATTAGCCTACTGTTTCGTATCTGACCCCAACATTTATTGGAATCAATTCAAAAATGATGTAAATATATCAACTTTTGATAAAAATATTTAGTGAGCGTGAAAAGAAAAGGCACAGCCCCACTGACATTGCCAATAATGACCAATAATGTACGGGGTATACCATGCAGCGTGACAGGACTGGTTGTGGGGTAGAAACCTAGTCCGTTCCTGTACAGGAGACCTTCGTCCCTTAAACTAACCCCAATACTCGGACTAACACTAGCCTGGTGTAATCATGTTGGAACCCCAGACCCCCTCCCCTAAATTCGCCACTGATTCCTGTCACACTGATACAACACGATTTAACCTCAACACTTCAAATATAAGCGTATCGTCGTTACGATCTTTTTTTTTAAATTAATTATTTAATATTTAATAATAAAAATTATTCGAAATATACAAGTACCACTGTAATAAAATCATGGTATATCATTTTTTGGTCCGAGATATATATGTGCACATAATGGGTTCGTTAGGCACAGGCAGATACCTGTAACGAAACAAATGTGTTGTTCTCGATAAACTGATTTGTGTTTTATTTTACTCGTGGGTATCATTCGACTCTCGTTTGGTCTAGACTCAATAAAAAACACTCGTTAACCATGTTTATCTCCTCGGTATATATAATACTAATTGAGATATCGACTGACGGTTAGTAATCGCTGCCAAAAAGACTGGAAACAATGTCTAACTCCGCTAAGCCTTCTCGCAAATTGCAACAACCTTCAGCCCTTGCACAGTATTAACAGATTGTTCTAACTGCGCGTTCGTCTTTTTAAACTTAATTCGAACATACTGCAGTCACTTTGTATCAATCAATCGACCCTGTAATACGTGCCGACACACACAAGAGCTTAGAGAAGAGCCTAAAACTGATTGCAAGTGAATCTTCAGCCTGTTTTTTGCAATATTTGAGCCTGAGCTATCACCGCCCTTAAATTATGAGATACGAACGTGTAAATCCCTATGGCTTTTGGATTAAGATGTTGGGAAATAGGTCTTTCCGCTCAAAACGTTGAGGGTTGTCTAAACTACAAAACCCTAATAATTAAGTTCCAAGCGTGTTGACGACATCTGTAGTAGTGGAACATGTCAAAGATCTCTCAAATACATTCTGAAGCAAAATCTCGTCGTCTCAGATGAGCTTATTTTGAATTTTGTGAGGGATTGATTGGTACTATGCAGTTTTTATGGCGACGATTGTAGCAGCAATCGATTGTCAACAGATTGTTGCTATAATGTGCGTCACCAACAGACGTCATGAAATAGTGACGTCATCAAGTATCTCACCTGCCTTGATTGGTGTCAGGGGAGTTGACAGCTCTCAGTTTCGTCATCAGCACTCGCACTATGTTACACAAGAATGCCAAGTTGAGCTGAAATTAATGGATTTATAATTAATTATCAGGGCCAATTTAAACAAAACATACTCAGCTTTGTCTATTTCTTGTTTAAATATACGAATAATAGATTGATAAACGCAAACAAATGTAGTAACAGTAAAATAAAAGCGGTTTTGAGTACACTAGAGACGGGTCTTTAAAATAACGGAGTCCTTCATTTTATTTTTAGATTCCCGAGAAATGATTTTAAATGACATGTTTGTTTTTCTTATAATTAACCAAATCGATTATAAATGGCATTCACAAAGCTTGCAGCGGGTACTTACTAACAAGGAAAATGCCACCGTTCCATTTAGAATCCAAAAATATGGACTGTTAATTATCCAACATCTATTAGAAAAAAAAACATATAAAGACTGAATTACATAAAGGAAATTAATTTCCATTAAATATCGATTTGAAATTCACAGACCATTAGCATTAAATAATGCACGGGGTTTTGGCGCCAAGATCGAAATAATGATGAACCTGCTCTGGTTCCGAAGCCTAGAACAATATGCCTGCCAGAAAGTCAATGTTATATTGCAATTCAAGTCAGATGATGAGAATACAACCCCCCCCCCCCAAAAAAAAAAAAAAAAAAAAACATGGTTTCCTTCATTATTACCATTATTTTTACTATAATCCTAGTCAATCTCAAATCACAAATTAGTTAGGGAATAGTTCTTCACAATCTTGATGATCGATTAAAGTGACTGGTAACGTCCCCACTGCTAATATTTCAGCTTATGCAAATGATCAAACTATAAAAGTACCGGTATATGCGGTATGGTGATGCATTAATACATGTATGGTATGCATTCACTAATGCCGATATAGAAATGAATATTTTTTCCACATGTACACTGTACTTACTCGTGGGTAGCGTCCCGCAAAATACCACGTATAGAGGCGTATATAAAAGTGATGACCGCAGGTAAACCTGTGTAAATTAATTAATTAATTAATTAAGAAGTAAATATAGATGAAATATATAAACAAATTCTACAAAGATGGCTTGTGAAAAACTAAGTATAAGTATTAGTACGAAATGCCAAAAAAATCAAGAAAACTGATCATCGGGTTCTTTTCCATGCACTCTCAACCACAACATAATATCAATCATCACTGTTACATGTGCGTTACACCTAAAGAATTACGACTGACGTCACAAGCACTTGCGCGTCATTTAAAGCAGCGGCTCGAAATCACTGCTATCGCCATTACGTCACATGTATATGCGAACTAACTGACGTCACAATAACTTACCCCATCCTATAACGCAGCAACATATGAGCAACGCCTTCCCGGTGGTGAACGCGACCACTATGATTGTGTGTAGATACAGCCCTTCACAAAACATCCAGAAGTAGTTACACACGGTGAGATACTGCACAAGGACGTGTAAGCCCTGGCACCAAAACTGAAATACAGAATATGTGCGGTTACTGCATGTATTCGTGGCCGTCTACATGAAGCCATGGGTGAAACTCGCTTGCTTGGACGTGCGTACTTGAACAGTGGCTATGTTTAAAAACCGTCAAACGTGTATTTATATATTTTCTATTTATCTGTCTATCTATCTACCGTTTCTATATTTGAGCCAGTTAAATGTAAGTTCGGGTGCTGATGCCGAAAAAAAAAAAAACGGAATTTTAATTTATTTCTATTACGAATGTGAACTGTCTCATGGCCAAAAATGACACTTATTTACCTAAGCTGAGAGAGTGTGGGGGCAGTGCCTTGGTGTAATGATTTTCTAAGAATAAAAATTCTGTGCTTATTCATCAACATAATAAATAAATGAATAAATAAATAAATAGATAGATAAATAGATTGATTTATATATTAGTAAGTTTATTAATTAGCTATTTATGGCCTAATTAAGGTACGTGATACAGGCCCGTGGCCAGCAATTTCAAAGGGGGGTTCTTTTTCTGAAAAAGTGGACCTTTTACCGAAAAATCCTCATGAACTTATGTCAAATTTTACCCAGAGTGGGCCTTTTTCAGCACAAAAGGGGGGGGGGGGTTCTATCGAACCCCCCGAATGCTACGGGCCTGCGATACGGGGCTCTCACCGGGTTAGCCACTATCACATCGTGATCTAGGGGCACCTTCAGGTAGTAGATAATCCAGCCCACACCCGTTAACACGTAGGACACAAAGAGATTCTTATGGATTGTAATCCTGTCGCAGTGAAGCTGCCTGGAATTAAGAAAATAATTAATTTAAATTGCTGTAGGGGCTGGGGATCTGGGAGAGAGTGGTAGGGTTCACGTCGATTCTTCCTGATTGACCTTTCAATAATATTATAACTGTTTCTAGCGCGAATAAAAAAATGAGCAAAATGTAAAGAGATGACAACTGCATGAATAAATAAAACGGCTGTCTTAAATCCGAAGATAAGATTGACCGTTTTCTATTATATTGACATCTGTGGCGACGGCTTATTGCATTAATGATCAAAGCAATTGGCAAAGATTTCATGTAAAATGACATGTTTTTAAATCCCCTACGCCTACGGTTCAATCGTGTCGTTGGTCGTTTTTTACCTTTGTCGTCAAAACAGTCGCACACATTTAAAAGTCATTTTGTAAATTGCAGTACTAACCTATGACTCGTATCTAAAGTGCCGCGTTTCAGTTGCAACTGAAGGCAATGTATATCGGGTAAATACACATTCTTAACATTTCCGAAACATGATTCTTACATAACAGCACAACCCCTCATAGATTTTTCTCTGCATGTGGTAAGGATAAAACCCCGCCCTGACACATAAACAAGCAAAAAATTCCCCATTAAATAGTCATACGATACTCTGTCTTCCATGGGCTCACTGACAGTTCTTGTATCGTCTTGTCGTCAAGTGCAATTTAGCATTTATTTCAAAGCAAGCGTTGTTATTCGGTTAAATCATTGGCGGAGATAATTACAGAAGGGCTGTTCTGTTGAGGAAGGCAAAGAACATCGTGCATTGATAGCCTTAATGCCTTCGCAACAAATCAACAACTGTACAATCACGAGTTCATCCAACCGACTGAAAATAGAGTAAATTGGTGGACCGTGATCGCCAATACCTGCACCAGACCTGACACATATTGATAATCAATGACTCCCACCCCCCTTCGGTTCCCAAAAAAATATACGACACCAATATTCCCCTCTTGAAATTTGAAATTTGACTAGCAAAATCATAGTTCTAAACCGTACCAAAGGGCACTGTTCGCTACCCAAAACACCAAAAAAGTTCGGCGTCGTTGAGCAGGACTCGAACCCCACACCAAGGGGGCAATGGTCAGCTTTGCATCCGAGGCCTGTTGTTCCGGACCCCCCCCCCCTTCAAATAATCCTGGATCTGCCCCTGACGATGATGACGATGATAATTTTTGTTGATATACTTATATATATACTTACTTGAAAGCGAAGAAAATGACCAAAGAGATGAGTATGGCCATCGTGGATACACCATACCCGGCTAGATACACGTACACTGCGCTCTTGTTTTCCTGAAAATAAGTAAATGACAAGGTGAATGCAATTACTAAAGGAATGTGCCAATGCCTGAATATTTGTTTTTATACTGAACGTGCTTTTTAAAGTGTATACATAAACCTAGGGTGGCAAATTTGTTTTCTACCAGAAGAACCTCAACCAACCGTCGCGCATCCGTTGTGAAAATCGTTTTACTACTGAAACATCAATACCAGACAGGCTGTCGCTTTGCACTAAACATCATTTCGTTAAATTCAGTTTTTTGATTGTGAAATGATTATTTAACTATATAATGGCATTGTGTTAAGTAATTATAGGGTTGTATCATCAGCGACGTGTGAGTGTTTTGTCTTGGCCTACCAATGAATAAGAAGGGATATTTTATTCAGAGGCAAAGGTAATGGTAGGCTGAATAACGAGTACATACACGTGCATGTACGTGCTTGTGTGCGTTAAGGGAGGATGTATTGCGTGTGCGCGTGTCCGCGTGCCTGCACATGTCGTGTGTTTGTGTGTATTTTGTGAGTGCGTTTTTATGCGTGCGATAACTAAACGACTATAAAAAATCTACAAATGCAAAATATATTGTATGAAATTTTCATTTCCCAAAATCAGTGTGAACCTGGCGGAAATTCAATTTTTTTCGTAAATTAGCGTGGAAACCGCATCCAAAAATCAAATAAGCGAAGTATACATTAACCCTGACGAAGATTCAGATCATGGACAAGGACAAGGTTGTCTCCATCGGGTAAACTAGATAAAGCAGACGTTACCTAACCGCATGTAGTAAATTACGGCGGATCGATGTGTCGAGAGGGATGGTTAAGACGTCTTTAAGCCTGTGTAAATCAGCGTTCCGAGACTGTAAATCCTTGCACGGGGTTATTAAGGCGAGACCGAGTTAATCTTTGTCTGAATTGGGTGCCAATTTGGCAGAGAACGGTCGACATAAATTGACTGGAACAATCGTTAAGAGTTTGGATATTTTTTCTCTGTGGGTGTCTGTATGAGCAGTAGATTTCGACTTAATTCCAGATCAGCGCATTTATCCAATTGAATATTTTGAAAGGGTTGACAGGGGCGGATTTAGGCCGTCTTCTGGGTCTTCCAGAAGACGGTCATATTTTCAGGTTTACATTGACGGGTATCTAATTTTTTTCTGTTTGAAGACGGTCAAAAGTAGAGGATGGATCAATAAAGATAATTTGAAAGACTATCAAAATATATCTGGATCCGCCCCTGGTTGATGTGTGTATATGCGAAAAAATCCAAAGGAAACTATGTTTTTGCGAAAGTACACGTAGAACGCGAAAGAAACATATCCGTTATCTTATTGATTTTCAGCATTTTGGTTGGCATACTGCCGCCTTAAATGTTTCATTCAATTGAATTGTTGCGCAATGATACCATCATCTATTTCCCCCGTTAAACAGGTAATAATTTGATTCCGTAGGTTTGTTAGCAACGTATGTTAAAAGTAAAAAAAAAGTAAGTTGCGGACAGGTTTTGATGAAATATTTGGGATAGCCCAGATATGGGCGGCGGAACATGTGATAAGTTTTGATGGTGGTACGGATTATCATGTATACCTATTATTAGTAAAACGTGGCATTTCTCAGGTTTTGATCCTTTTATCTATTTACTTATTTATTTATTTATTTTTTTTATTTATTTATTGTTATTATTATTATTATTATTATTTCTATTATTATTATTATTACTTTCGTTGTTGTTGTTGCTGTTGTTATTATTGCGTGTATATCGTCAAGACTAAATGCATGTAACATATAAGGCTGGATATGCATGCCTACCGTCATCTTTTCCTCGTCCATGCAGTTGAAATACTTAGTAAAGACGGCGCCAGTGTCGGGACGTCTCCACCACGTGCCATTGGATGTGCATTCTTTGTACGCTTGCGCTAAAATGATACGAAAAGTCGCTTTAAATAGACATTACTCGTTTTTTTTTTATTATTTTACTTTGGGTGTATAAAGATAATTTGTTTTGAAACCATTGCGTAAATGTATAATCTATAGACGGTAAATACATCCGGTAGAGAGAACTTATAAATACTAAGTATATAACACCCGAGTAATAAATCTTCCAAAAATGCAGTTAACAAATCAGGAAAAAAGGTAAGTTTGTAATATTTATAGTCAGACAGATTTTTCTATATATCCATCCATCTATCTATCTATCTATCTATCTAAAGACAGACATGCACACAGGCTGATACATGTAGCTGTTCAAAGTTGTGTCACAGAGGCTCTTCTACACACACTGGACAATATGTCACCCCCTGAATCAGAGTAATCAAAGTTATTATGCCTGGTCTACTTATAATGTGACTAATGAGTATAAAACCGCTGTATCATGGAATTGTATTGTTGGTCTGTTTGTGAAATTTGATGTTAAAAAATGATAAAAGGAGCATATTATTCTAGAGTCATTTATCTCCCCCAAAGTATTGGTTCAGTAGGGGTGACACTTCTATTGTCCAGTGTGTGTAACTGCTGAACAAATTAATCATGAATATGTGGAAATAATGCACTGGTTTTACAATTTTGTTTTGAAAAAGACGTGGCTTTGGCATTTTGTCTTGGAAACGGGAACTATCCGAATTCGATGTTTTAAAGCATCAGTAAGCCCAACCCTCCAACTACAGGGACGGATCCGGATATATTTTCTGACAGTCTTCCAAATTATCTTTGTTGATCCATCCCCCATTTTTGATCGTCTTCCGACAGAAAAAATAGATACCGGTCTATGTAAACTTAAAAATCTGACCGTCTTCCAGAAGACCCAGAAGACGGCCTAAATCCGCCCCTGAACTATTTATTCCCTCTGAGAGTCTCGTATATAATCTGTTTACGAGGTCATTACTTTTGGGAGTCTCAATCACTTTAAGGTAGATCGATACGTTAAACTCGCTCGACTTGGCCAAAGCAGTTTTTTCTCGTTTCTTTTTGGGAAATACTCATCTAGATATAAGTGCAATCAAATCAAGCACTTTTAAAGTGCACTTTTTCGTTGTTTTATTTACCATCCCTTTTAAGCTCTGCCTCTTTTTATTTTAATCTAATTGCTTTGTAAATTGGTGTAAGATAATGACCGTTTTTTTTTTTTTTTGCCGTAACTCCATAACTAAATCAAGCAGCATCATGAAAACTGGGATAGTTGACGGCATTTGGGTGAAATACAATCCCGTGCCAGAATTTGTTTTAATTTTGTCTTGCCTATGAGATACGAGTCCCTAATTACGATGTTCCATCAAAGGCTGTCATTCATTCGCCTACCAGTATTGATTGATAAAACAACAAAAAAAAAAAGAATATTTCCTGGCATCAGATTGTACCGGTAGTCGTTATTGTTGTTATTAAATAGGCGTCAAAACGGTATTAGTAGCTGTTCAGGTAAGGGAGATCTGCTCGAAATAAAAAACAATTTTCAACACAAACACACTGGTGTTACGCCATGAAGCCATCATCTGATATTAGCAAATTTATCCTCATGCATGTTTGATGTGACAGCATTGTGTCATAAGATGACATAATCTATTTCTTCATTGCCTCTGGGGATAAGGAAACAGCTCCTAATATATCGATCTACACTGTGCCTGAATATGATACTACTACCTTAGCGTAGTATATGTACTCCTTTCACAACCTCATTTTTTCTTAAACAGAGAGAAAATGTATTTGAAAAGCGCAAAGCCGTCACAACGAATCGAATTTTAATTATAAACACCTTTTAAATATGGGAGTAGAAAAAGAAGGTGAATAAGTGAAGGGACAAATTGATAGATGCATGCACCTTTACACTGCGATGGTTTTGAAATAAAATTGAAAATGTGAAGGGAAGTTGCTGATGACTGTATTAATTTATTATTATTATTATTATTATTATTATTATTATTATTATTANTATAGACGGTAAATACATCCGGTAGAGAGAACTTATAAATACTAAGTATATAACACCCGAGTAATAAATCTTCCAAAAATGCAGTTAACAAATCAGGAAAAAAGGTAAGTTTGTAATATTTATAGTCAGACAGATTTTTCTATATATCCATCCATCTATCTATCTATCTATCTATCTAAAGACAGACATGCACACAGGCTGATACATGTAGCTGTTCAAAGTTGTGTCACAGAGGCTCTTCTACACACACTGGACAATATGTCACCCCCTGAATCAGAGTAATCAAAGTTATTATGCCTGGTCTACTTATAATGTGACTAATGAGTATAAAACCGCTGTATCATGGAATTGTATTGTTGGTCTGTTTGTGAAATTTGATGTTAAAAAATGATAAAAGGAGCATATTATTCTAGAGTCATTTATCTCCCCCAAAGTATTGGTTCAGTAGGGGTGACACTTCTATTGTCCAGTGTGTGTAACTGCTGAACAAATTAAGCATGAATATGTGGAAATAATGCACTGGTTTTACAATTTTGTTTTGAAAAAGACGTGGCTTTGGCATTTTGTCTTGGAAACGGGAACTATCCGAATTCGATGTTTTAAAGCATCAGTAAGCCCAACCCTCCAACTACAGGGACGGATCCGGATATATTTTCTGACAGTCTTCCAAATTATCTTTGTTGATCCATCCCCCATTTTTGATCGTCTTCCGACAGAAAAAATAGATACCGGTCTATGTAAACTTAAAAATCTGACCGTCTTCCAGAAGACCCAGAAGACGGCCTAAATCCGCCCCTGAACTATTTATTCCCTCTGAGAGTCTCGTATATAATCTGTTTACGAGGTCATTACTTTTGGGAGTCTCAATCACTTTAAGGTAGATCGATACGTTAAACTCGCTCGACTTGGCCAAAGCAGTTTTTTCTCGTTTCTTTTTGGGAAATACTCATCTAGATATAAGTGCAATCAAATCAAGCACTTTTAAAGTGCACTTTTTCGTTGTTTTATTTACCATCCCTTTTAAGCTCTGCCTCTTTTTATTTTAATCTAATTGCTTTGTAAATTGGTGTAAGATAATGACCGTTTTTTTTTTTTTTTGCCGTAACTCCATAACTAAATCAAGCAGCATCATGAAAACTGGGATAGTTGACGGCATTTGGGTGAAATACAATCCCGTGCCAGAATTTGTTTTAATTTTGTCTTGCCTATGAGATACGAGTCCCTAATTACGATGTTCCATCAAAGGCTGTCATTCATTCGCCTACCAGTATTGATTGATAAAACAACAAAAAAAAAAAGAATATTTCCTGGCATCAGATTGTACCGGTAGTCGTTATTGTTGTTATTAAATAGGCGTCAAAACGGTATTAGTAGCTGTTCAGGTAAGGGAGATCTGCTCGAAATAAAAAACAATTTTCAACACAAACACACTGGTGTTACGCCATGAAGCCATCATCTGATATTAGCAAATTTATCCTCATGCATGTTTGATGTGACAGCATTGTGTCATAAGATGACATAATCTATTTCTTCATTGCCTCTGGGGATAAGGAAACAGCTCCTAATATATCGATCTACACTGTGCCTGAATATGATACTACTACCTTAGCGTAGTATATGTACTCCTTTCACAACCTCATTTTTTCTTAAACAGAGAGAAAATGTATTTGAAAAGCGCAAAGCCGTCACAACGAATCGAATTTTAATTATAAACACCTTTTAAATATGGGAGTAGAAAAAGAAGGTGAATAAGTGAAGGGACAAATTGATAGATGCATGCACCTTTACACTGCGATGGTTTTGAAATAAAATTGAAAATGTGAAGGGAAGTTGCTGATGACTGTATTAATTTATTATTATTATTATTATTATTATTATTATTATTATTATTATTATTATTATTATTATTATTATGTCATTTTAACGAGTAATCTATCTATCTATCTATCTATAGACATGCATACACACAGGTTGATAGCTTTTCAAAAGTTGCGTGACCTATAGGGTCTTCTAACTACTGAATGTGCATGAAATCCCGTGCCCTCACCACTGAATACTCACCCAGGGGATCCCACTCTTTGGACACATACTGTGGGCAGGGGGAGTACACCGTGGTCCCGGCAGGGGTGTCGTCCCAGCATGCCCAGCCGTCCCATGTGCGATAGCAGTAAAGGCCTAAATTTAAAAAAAATCATACATATGTACAAATGTATAGGCCCTACTATATAAAATATGTATTTCGGTCTTAGTGCACGAAAACCATGCAACCACTTTTAAAGCAGAAATGTCATTGTTCGATGTTTCATTCAATTCACCACCCCACGCGCTTGCCCCCGTTTTTTGTCAGTTTAACTGATTTGTAAATTGGTACAATATAGTAATAACTAAGTCAAACATGTAGATGCAAAGGGACGTGCATGCATGACAAATAAAATGGGAGCTTTTGCATTATACATAGGAAGTTGATATTCTATGTGATATACAGGTACCTGTATATCACAATATTTTTGAGTCCTCATTCTCAATTTCTTCATGTATCTTATAATAAGTATAATGAGGAAATAGATGAAACCGAGGTCATGTTAGGCTTTGCTCAGATTCACGTCGAGGTCGCTAAAAACTCGTCATCGCGCTCGCTATTTAGTGGCAATATAAGAGATTAAACGTAAAAGCGATTTACCCTTTTAAGTTTTAAAAAACTGCAATGACCAAATAAAAAGTGGATATTTTTATCAGCCCCCTTCATCACTTCATCACTACAGACTAAAACACAGACAAAACTGTAAAATAAAACTGACAAAAGTATTATCTGCTCAGAATATCAGTTTAAAGATCGCCAAGCGACTCAATTACGACGGTAGTGGGTAGGGAATCAGGAGGATTAGATTAGATTAAACCCTTGCGGTGAGAAATCGGAACAAATCAGCCCTTTGCTGAATAAGCGCTATAGTGCAGGGATATAGGTTAAGAGAGGCATTTCATCCCTAGATAGAATTGGCACATGCCCCATGGCCCCATAGAATTGGCACATGCCCCATGGACTGGATAGAAACACGCCTTATCAAGCCATTAAACGGATTAAATCTCGGCTCCGGGGGGTTAATTGCTAGGCCATTGCTGTGGAGGCGGGGAGACCATCAGGGAAATTAGCGGCGTCGCTTTTGAAGTGGGGTCAGCCATATTTAATCAGCGGATCAGTTAGTCCACGGATTATCTGTTCTGAATGCGCTCTAATTGTTTCAGTGACATATCAATCAAGGCAAATTAGATTCAGAATTGATGCGAATTGTAATAAAAGCATGCTCCGAGTTAGCATGGACACCTTGATATAAGGACGCCCTAAGTTCATCGATCATTTCAGAAGTTTTTTTTCGGCTGTCCCTGAAGGTACGTGTTGCCAGAGAAGATCACCATTCACTGCTCAGAGGAAAGTCAAAAGCTCACCCGTGGTGTGCATGTAGCCCAATTTGAGTCCTAAGATAAATTTAACACTACAGAATATGTCTATTGAGACCGAAGATAAATCAGTAGAAAAACAAATTAAATGAAATACTGCGTCTTGTTTAAGACAAAAAATTAGTGACTTATGATTTAGACTAATCATTATTCTTACTTTATTGAAGAGGTGTACAACAATGTATGAGTTCTTCTTAAAAAAAAAAAAGGTCCAGGTGTACACCAAATTGTGGACTTAAAAGACAAGTTCGTGGCCATGGGGCATGTGCCAATTTTTCTCTGAAGCTGGTGCGCAGCAATCATCAAAATAAAGACCCCAATACGCACTTTTGTACATGTATCTTAAAATGATTCATAGTCGCCTCCTTTTCCCTCGGTTATTACAATAATAATTGGAATCGAAATAGTTGACGGCGTTGTGAGAGTAGTTTTCGATTTTTATTACATTTTTAACATCGGCTAAAGTGATGAAATGGATGTCTCATTTGAGATGTAAAGGAGCCACGGTTTTTCCTTTTTAAAAGAAGAATATGGATTATAGTTGGGAGATATTACACACCCAATCCAATTACGCCCAAATAAGACAAGTGTTGCAGTTATTGACAAGAGTTATCCCAAGTTTATCCTGTTATGCCTTGTTATCATACTCTTATGATCAATTTCCTGTTAGATCATATGTGAAACGCACATTCATCGTCATGATATCTTATGGGCTTTAGAATTAGACTTCAAACTGGCGCGTAGGACGCTTAATGTAAGTGTGAGGGAGTGTGAGCAGAGTAGGAAATGGGGGGGGGGGGACAGCTGAAAACTTACAAATAAATGAATAAATAAATTGTGGTAATAATAGTGCTCGGTAGATGGAAGATTCCCTTTAAAGGGATAATAACTCTTCGTATGAGATCTATATTTCACAATAAAAACATTGTAAACAACTAACAGAAACATAATATATTCTGTTTTACCACAAAACGGCAGTTATAGCTATTATTCTGATATCTGAGCTTGACATCAGACCACGTGACCTCCATAGATGGATATACTCTGCAATATTCTCTAAAGAGATTATAAAATAAAACCAAACTTTTTAGAAAAAAAAACAGGGACTAACTTTGAATGTAGAAATGAATTCGTTAACAATTGGCAAGTATGGTAAAATTGTTTTTTACTCGGGAAAATTCAATTTTTGGCCAAAACGAACAGTTATTATCCCTTTAACTAACCCTGCCCGCTTCTTGCTCTTTTGCCTGACGTCATTGAAACAAAAGGGGGGGGACGCTTCCCCACACCAACGATATTAGGCCTCATTCAGCATACTACTAGTCCGAGGGCCAAATATGGCCGACCCACTGGAATATTTCCCCATCGCAAATCTATTCAGTGTCTATTAGCGGATTAAACGGCAAGCTTTGTAATGAGTCGCCATGTTTGACCCTCGGACTAGTAAGTCCCCTATTCTGAATGGGGCCTTAGACTCTCGCTTAATTCGTACACATTCGATCGACCGAAAGGAACATGCTGTCTTGGTACGCTTGAACTCGTTTTAATAGCCAAAAGCACAATTAGGACTTGAAGCACCAAATCAAGCTGCATAGCTTGCTTATAAACACATGTAAAGTTAATTAATTGCGGTTAAGAAATGTAATCGTTAGCTGAAACTGCACACTGCGTACTTAAAAATTTGCTGAAATGTTCACGAGTTAACGAAAAAGATCCACTTAACGGCAATTACTTTTGAAGTGCTGTAACATTACTCATCGCAATAACGGGCAAAATGAAACATCGATTCATTAAATCCGGCATTTAAAGTTTATAGATATCAACCCTGATGAGATGCCAGAGGCCCGGCTGGATTAAACATGTGCATGGGGCAGAAAAAATTAACTGGCGGCATTTTTTTTTCAAATTCCATGCAATTTTCTCGTACATCATTAACTTAATGTAGACGCGAATAGATGCACGTAACGCTTATTTAGAAAATATGTAGAAGTGCCAGAGTTTGAATCACGCGAAATTGTATTTTCCGAAATTAAATTGATTTGGGCACAGATCTTATTGTGCGAGAGATTCAGAGGCCAAGCAATAAAATTTGTTTTCTTGGAAAAATAAACCTGTTTCTTTTAATCACCATGACCAAAATTGTTCATAAAATTACGAACCATATATTAAAAGAAAACTTTCTTTACGTTTGAGTTTCTGACTTTTTGGGGGAGGGGGTCAATTGGTGCCTGTAACGAAACAATCGTTATTTCCTTGTCGAGTTTCTGTGACTTGGTCAACCTACCATATTCTTTTCTTATTGAACATGTATGTCCTTTTAACATGTAAGACAGATCCGCCTACGAGTCCCTTATGAAATCTGACTACAACACATGGCATGCACGTTATCCATAGAGTCAGGGTAATCTAATTGCATTTTCCACATACTGAGATTGACGTTTTCCTAGAACCATCCAAGATTGTTTACAACGTTTTCCTCGGTCAGTGATTTTGATTTTGATTGGTTTCGTCTCCGTTATGAGCTTTCAATTATATAGTAAGCTCCTACTATATAATATTTACCGGTACTAAAAGCTGTAGGAGGCACTGGGTTCACGATGACCAATTTATCGTGAATTAGGTTTTTGATGGAAGTCTGTGATTAAACGTCACCTATACTTGTCCTTTGTTGAAGGTAAGAAAGTGCAAGTGTAATTATAACAGAAAGTTGAAAGTTGACCCATTCTTTAAATATGCTTTGAATATGCGTTGAGGTCGGGACCTCAATTCCAAAGGCTTTGCGTCAATCCACGACCAGGTTAAAGTAAATGCAATAGTAGAATTTTTTAAAAAAAAAGTGTACTCGGGTTCTGTCCAGTTTCGCTCGCTACACGGTTATTTGAAAGGGAGCACGGGAAGAAGGGGTGAACCTTGCAAAAGACAGTAAGGTAGCGAGAGGGAGGGGAAGTAGTCGCTTGTCACCCTCTTTAAATGGGCTCACCACTGAAAACAACTTAAAAAATATAAATTCATCTCCTCGCTATTCAAACAGCATAGCACTGCTTTGTGTTTATATATACATGTATGTTTATGTACATGTATGTATGTATGTATGTAAGGTTTATATATGTATGTAATACACACACACACACACACACACAAATGTTTTGATATAGTATGTGGGCTGTAAGCGAAAAAATCAGGAAGTTCGACGACGAGGATACCCCCTGGGCCTTTTTATGGTTAACCTCTACCCCCCACACCTTAAAAGTGCATCGCCGTGACCAAAATGGATTATGATTTCATAATTTTTTCATTTCTAGAGGAAAAGTGTCTAATCAACTGGAAATGGGAGGTTTGGGTTTGAAGCAGAGGAGAAATCTGAGGAAATTGACAGACTGAACTCTCGACGATAAGACAACTTCACACATTGATAACCATAGCACAATAGACCTTTTTCATCTTTTGCGGAAATACGAAGTGCGCATGACAGGAAACGCGCGCCACAGGGGTCATGGTGGTCCTCTGCTGTTTCCAGCATGGCAATGCTAGGTGTAGATGATGTACAAGGTGCGCATGTAAAAAGGTCGTATGAAGCGTGCACTGCTTTCTGTCAAACTGAAAAGGTGGCTGAAGCACAGAAATGCTTAAACTGTAGGCAAGAAACAGCTATTTGGACGGAGAATCAAGCAATTAAATGTTTTCTTTCTCAGTTTAAATACGATGCGCTGTACAACTAGACTTCACCTAAGCGTCCGAGCCTTGGCTGCACTTTCAATAGTGTTGATAAACTAAAGCTTCAGAGTTCTTTTAAATGCTTCCGATAATAAAGATATGCGAAAGAGACTCGTTATTTTTTATATATAAAATCAAAATAGCCAGTAGACTCGTTCACAGCTTTCAAGAGTGTGGACAGGTGCGTAGGCCTACGTCTTCACAATATTACATGTATATATGCAAGCTGTGGCGATATCACCTCATTTAAGGCAGTGTCAATTCTTTACGATTTTTATGTCTTGTTTGAAGGATGTCTTAAGAGATTTTTGAAGTGATAAAATGAATTGTTTGACTCGTACCAACTGTGTATACAGGTAAAACTGACACGCAGATCGTTCGTCGGTGAACTGATTAAATCGTTTGGTACCTGATAAGGCATCAGGTGTTACTTGTTCAATTGTTCGGTAAGGGGGGCGGCCACAACTACGACCTTTCCTCTGTAATTAAAACCTTCTAATTTTAAGTGTTAAATAGGTGAGACAGGAATTCTTGAGTCTTTCCCAGAAGATAATTAAAGTTTACCGTGTCTTACTCTAGTATATGTACAAAATTTACGACAGGTAAAAAATGTCGGACTTTCGGTCTGACAAGTAGAAAATTTTGTCAAACTGAACCAAAACCGTCAGGCAAAAACAGAAATATTGCAAGAAGCCAAATTATTTGATTTTTTAATGTTTTCGTGCGTATTTTCATCGTTTTCAATCAAAGACAATAAAATCATTCAAATAAAGTGTTTTCCACACATTTTAAACTTTTCAACTATCTAAGACAGTTAAATATACGTAGGCATACTTTAATACTAAGCATATTTGTATTACTTTACAAATACGTTGTTAGATTATTTTTATTATCCATTTTGTATTTACCATACATGTATTATGTACGTGTAGCATACAGAAAGGCTTTCCTGCATTTTTTTTTTTTAAATATATGCTCATTGAATTTTCCAATTCTCTTGTCATTGAGTTCAGAAATAAATAACTATTTATTTTGCTGATAACGCGTTCAACAAGAGCCGATGTACTTTCTTCTTCGTATGTCTCTGTTGATCTTGATAGTATGAGCCCCGTTTGTACAAATAAGTATTTACGTATATGGGACTGGATACATTATAATAAAAATTTTATTAACGTCTCACGTTAAAAAAAAATAGAACCCACCCTACTAAGGGTTATGAGAGACTAAAACCTGTGATAAGCCTACTACATTTAAAATGATCACTTATCAATAAATCACACACAAAAA